TCCTCCCTGATCTTCAGTTATTTTTATTGTCTTTGAGCATCCTGGTCCTATGCCCCTTAAAAGTAGATTGTCCATGATTCTGTATTTTGGAGGCAAGCAAAGGAAAATCTATATTGCTAGCATGTTGATTTACTAAAATATTTGTGACGTGTCTTTTGGCCAAACATTTTTTTCATAGTGGCTATCAAAACTTAAAAATTTGTAACAATATGCAGCAAAGTCTAACTATAGAGTTCTGTCATCCTTGGAGAATGACAGAAGCAGCAACAAAGAAGGAAGGGGTAACATGCTTTTTCTCCACACTCCTTCCTCACAAACAGAGCCTAGATGCTCCTCAAATGCTTGGAGAGGTTTCCAAAAATATCGCTATTAATTATGCACAATGCTTGGAGATGGTTTTCAGTGTGTGTGTGTGTGTGTGTGTGTGTGTGTGTTGGGTAAGTTCTGGAAGTTATAGTCCATGAAAAGGGTTAGTTTTGAGCTCCAATTACACATTTGGATTTTTGGGCACACTGACATCTTATTACAGATTATAGGGCAAATAATAAATTTGGAAAGGTTATCTTTTTGAATTCTGGAGTCCCTCAACCGACTTGGACAAGAGGTAGTTTAAAACAGTAACAAGTGATTCTGTAACAAGTAACAAGTAACTTTTCAAAGCTTTTGATGACACAGGATGGCATCCTCTGATAACCTGTAAGGTAGGGAAAGGAGCAATTCCCTGGCACAACATTCCAGCATTCTAAATGCTCTGCAAATCAGTAGCCCATATCCAATCCAAGCAAGGCAAGACTGAAGAAAATACAGGAGATTGAATAGGAATCCAATCTTCCATTCCTATCCCAATTCAAGTTATTTACAGCAAAAATTGCACTTCTCCTCCTAAAGGCAGATAAAAAAGCAACAATAAAAAGGAGCAAGATAACCAGTTATCCAAATATTCCAAAATATGTTCGCTGTGATTAGTCTAAGAATCTGGGAAATAGGAAAGATTTGACATCCGTAGATAAGTTTGAGGGATACTGTAATTCCAATGCTGAAAATTTTGTTTGTTTTCTTAAAAATATATTGTGTATGGAATGGATATCATATGATTATTTGCCACATACCCCATTATGTTGACCTCAAATATAAGTTGAGGGCAGGTTTGGGGGCCAAAATTATGAAGTTTTATGTGACCCATGGATAACTCGAGGGTAAAATTAGGGGAATGTAACAAGGGATCTAAAGGATGAAGCAAAGGAAAACAGTGCCAAAGAACATACAAAATTGCAGCAGACATAACTTTGTGCTCACTTTAAAGGCTGGCTAGATGAGCAAATTGGGGGTGAGTGCTCTCAGGATGAATTACACTCTTGCCTTTCACCAGGGGATGGTTCCCCTTTTTAAAAATTAGAGTTAAAGTGCCTACATTGACCTATGGATAAGTCAATTCAGGTTTTTTTTGGGGGGGGGTGTCAATTTTTGACCTAAATTTCTAGACTTATGCATGAGTATATACAGTACATACCTGTAATTCCATCTGCTGAAACTAGAATCTTATACAGGAGCTGTATACTTTTATATTATATGGGAAATATTAAAATGGTAACTGGATACTAGATAGGTACAAGTGAATGTCACAGAATATCTATTCACTTTCTATTTGCTATTTTTAAATATGCTTACCATTAGTAAAGAAACAGAATAGTAATCAACCCAACGTACCACTTTCTTTATATATTGTATATGTGGCACAGGACTAAGATCGCATTGTTTGGCCTTTTTAATCTGGTTGTCATATAGAAGAATAGAGTTTCATCAGATTTAACTACCCAAGAAATTACTTTATTAAAAAAAATCAAAGACACCCCAAGCCTTGTAAGAAATGCATGCTTTGTCAAAAAAAAAAAAAAGTCACTTTTGGCAGTATTCCTTAAATTGTTCTCTTTTAAATAATGTAAATTAAATTGAAATGAATTATGTAATGCAATCCTATGCATGTCAACTTGGATGTTAAGTCCCACTGCATTTAATGCAGTCCTAGAAATGTTGAAGCACAAAACTTACTGAGCAAAAGTAGCTTCATAAATTGGCACATGCAACCGTCTCTGCAAGGAATGTGGGCCAAATTGTTTGTTTAGCCAGAAGGAAACAGAAGGAACTGTGTTCCTCTCTTATCTGCTTTCCTACCCCGATAAGGGTTCAAAAAGCAGAAAGTTTAGACCACTCCCAGCCATTACTAGACACTACTGACAGATAAACTTATCTTTCAGCATATATTTCTATTTTTCTAAAGTCTAGTCCAAAGGCCTGCATGCAGCACTTTATTTCTGTTTTAAACCAGTGAGTTAAATCAGTGAACACACACACACACACACACACACACACACACACGTGCTAAATCCCACAGGGAAGAAGTCTGCTTCCTGCTGTAACAAAGAAAAAATGAAAGCAGAAGCTATTCACATTGTGGAGTACTATGGTAACATTTATTTTATTATCCACATTAAACTAGTCCTCTCAACTTGCTTAAAGGCAGATCTGACTGCTGCCTTTCTTAATGTTTAATTTTACTTCTTCAACAGAACCCTAAAATAAATCCATCCCACAGGCTTGGCAATGTTTGCAGAACCCAAACTCTTGTCAGCTTTAGGCTGTTTGCTGTGACGCACTGAGTCTATCGATGCTCACAGCCACACACTACTCATTGTGACCGTGTGTCACAGCACCGAGTAGGTATGGCAGTGGACATTTTAATCATTCAGGGCTCCCTCTTCCTTGTGGCATCCCTGCTTTCTTCCCAACAACCCACTCCAGACATGGAAATAATTAGCAAGCAACAAAAATAAAAGCCAAGACCCAGGCTGCAAGTGAAATAATGGCAAGGTCCCCGGTCACACACAAATATGCACACACAATGCCCTGGCAGATCATATTCCAACTATGACTAAACAGTGCTTGCATTTCCATGAGCTGTTTAGCCGGAGGCCAGGCAGTATGCAGGGAGTGTGTGATTAATCTCAGCAAGAGACAGATAGAGGGTGACAGTGAGAGGCTTTGCCTTCTCCGCACAGCCACAACGCAAGAGAAGCACCAAGCTGCTTTACTCTTATCACAATGCCCATTGCCACCCCCACTGCCCAGAGCACTATGGACTACAGGGTGTGTGTATGCCCACAGATGTGCTTGGG